CTTGGGATGAGACTCTAGGACTATATCCACTAGGACTATATCCAAGATTGGCGATGGCTAGAAGTCAACTTAACCTGCCCTTCTTCACGGAGATTGTCCTGATTGCAAGCTGGGAGCTCTGGAAGATTAGAAATGGTAGGATTTTCAACAATGGTAGAGTGGGCTTCAATCTCTAGTTCATGAGTTTTAGGAACCAATGTTTACTTCAATCTATTCTTTTCAAGGAAGATATTAGATCTTTCTTTTGCTTTTGGCTGGATGCCATCAGTTAAGACCTTTTGTAAGTTTTTTGATCTCCTCTTTTAATTAAAATTTTAAAGTATTGTGGGGATCCCCCCATAGTTTTTGCCCTTAAAAAAACAATTGCACATCATGATATGATTTCTTGGGATTATACTTGGGATCATGTATGGCGTTAGAAGGTAGGAGGCCGAGCACAACAATTTCATAGCATGACACGATTTCTTAGGTTTAGGGCATCTCCATCAGATATCCTATCCGATCTCCTATACCTAAAAAGTAGTGTTTGAAGAGGTGGAGGAGCTACAATAGATCTCCTATCTCATCTCGTATACCTATAACTTTTAAGAGATCTCCTAAAAGAACATCATCTCTTCTAAATAAAGGAGACACCCACCTCTCCCCTATCCCTAAAGAAATATAGGAGTTAAGTTTTAGGTAATCTGCTGCAGTAGTACTCTCTTATATTCTAAATTGATTTTAGGATACTCTCTCGAAGCAACTTATAGGGGACGATGCATTATGAGAAATCCAATGGAGATGCTCTTGTACATTGGGATGGAGGTGTTTAGTAGTTTGGTACTAGTCTAATTTGGTCTCTCTACTGTTATGCTTTTTGAAAGCTTCTTTTCATCAAACGGGGCACGGACTTTATATAATGAATGGCAGTACAAAACTCTTAGAGACCGAAATAAAAGATTTTATGTCTCTAAAAAATATTTGGGTTTGTTCTAATTTTCAGCCCAGTCTAGAATCTAGATAGGCACAGCCCGTGCGTTCACTTCTGGCACAATTATTTGTTTGGAGAGATTTTGCTAACTATGGAGACCTTACTGGTGCACTTCAAGCTTGACCATTTTGACATGTGTTTTGACACAGTAAGCAATTCTCTTTATATATAGAGAGAGAGGGGGGCTAACTTCTTTGAATATGTTTACACGTGAGTCCCTGTATGAAATTCTTTCGTTTTTCAGGTTACAGGCAGTAAATAAAACTAAGCGGTCGTCCGTGCGAAACACGGCACCCAAAGTCCACTGTGCAGCCAAAATCCATGCCTAGCTAGAGACGATCTTTATTCGCTCGACACTGAAATCCTGACCGACGGTCCAACCAATCATAACCATCATAGGCTAACTTTCGTTAAGCAGTCCAACAACTATCCCTCTCTAACGGATTCATGAACTCAGATGTTGTTTACCGACTCTGTCTAGCTTCCCATCATCACAAGATGTCTAGATCAGTAGCCACATAATCACCTGTGCTAAATGCCTTTTATTTGATCGCTGTTATCCAGCTTGGGCGACGCCTTTCCGGTTTCCACACTGGATTTCGGTTGCAGATCTGAAGGCGGCTTTGGCTGGTTCGGTTGACAATAGAAAAAACACTGTAGCGGCTGAATTTTACTGTTCATGGCTGAATCTATGAGAGACAAATACTGTTCCGGATGAAAAAAAAAGCGGATCAAGCCGGGTTTGGGGTCAACCGAACAAGCCCATAATAGAGTATTGATCCGAGGACCCTTCATTAGCTGCCACCTTATGATGACTGATGACAGCAATGTACTGATAGTTGTATACATATATACTCCTCCTATGGCTGCAGCCAATGAACCTGCATCGTTCTGTTAAAGTGTGCATGAGCTGCTGTACTTGGAGAGACCTGTGCGGAAGAGAAGAACTGCATTGTCAACAGTCTAATGATCGATGTCTGAATTCTGACGATGATTTCGAACTCCTGCTCATTGCAGGAGCTTGATGCCCAGCCTTCATTCAGCCTTGTTCAGAAAAGCCCCGGAATAGACAGAAGAGTCGGTCTGTCTGCTACCCAAAAATAAAGGTCGTACACGCTGCCTCGGCAACGTGTGGCGCGTCGCTTTAAGCTCTGTTGCCCGCTGGACATGACATCTATCCACTCTCCTGCACAGCTCGAGCAGAATCGAATCTGTTGGAAGCCACTAAAGCCAGGTTCAGCTGCCTGCACATATGCTTTTGATCGATCAAATCACGAATGAACTATTGCTCCATGTGCAGAGCTGTGTGACCATGGAGCCTATGCCTATAGGCTTAGCTCCAGCGGGACGAAGCTGCATTGCATCTGCATGCATACAGGTCACACCGTGGCCTCACTCTAACCTTCCAGCCGGAGCTGGTCCTGCGCTTTGAGAGTGTGTTCAGCGGCGGCGGATCAGCGAGCATGCGGCATATCCTAGTCACCCACAGTTTGCAAAGCACGTGTGCCGTGTGCGTGCCCGGCGCCCCTGCAGTGCATGCTCTGCTTCTGCTTCTGCTTCTGGAGGTGTCATCGTCCAAGTTGGCCTCTTGGGCCAGCTCCATCCGCCTTCAGATACCATACGTGCATGAACCTGCGATAAGAACTTTGGACTTGGACCTGACCTGCTGGGTTGCGTGGGGTTCTTGCCAACGAATGCCCATGGTGGTCCTGTCCCGGTTGGATACAGGACCATGCTTATTTGCAGCCATGCCTGCATTTCACGTGCAAGGTTTCCATTCGGGGGTTGACCCTTGATCGGATATGGTGGCTTTTCAAGCCTTGCTGGGAGACGCAGGTTATTGGTACCCTGTGTGCGTGTGCGGTGGCGCCGAGCATGGGGTGCCGCCGCCTCCCGCCTGCGTGCGGGGGTGTGTGTGCACATCTGTGTTTAAAGAAAATACATTGTGAAGCATTGTGTAGCACGTTACTATGGGGTTTGCTAGTATACATGTCCAAACGGGCCGCCCAAGCACGGGCACGGCATGCGGGGCATGGCGGCGCTGCCGTGCCGTGCCGGCCCAGGCACGACACTACAGGCTATTAGCCGTGCCGTGCCGTGCCGTGCCGCTGGGCACGGCAGCCCGTGCGTGCCCGTGCCGCTTTTGGCCCGACGCGGCGAGGCCATCGTGCTGCCGGCTCCTCGCCGAGGCCGTCGCGTTGCACGTCGAGGCCGCTCACGCTCTCCAGCACGTCAGCACAGAGGCCATCGCGCTGCCGCGCCACCACACTGAGGTCGCCGTGCAGCTCCTCCACGTCGCTGCAGACCTCGCGCCGCCGTCGTCTTCCACTCCGCCATCGACCTGGGGAGCAGAGGAGCCGTTGCGTCTCGCCGCCGCCCCTGGAGCTGCTGCAGTGAAGGAGGCCATGAGGCTGCTGTGGGAGGGAATTGTGAACGGGGAGCGGCAGCTTGGGAGGGAAGGCACGGGGAGCGGCGGCCTGGAGCGAAGTCGCGTCCCGCGTGCATGACGGAGTCGGAGGAAGCGGCGGGGTGAGGAACTAAGGATGGGAACTCAGAGGTGTGGGGGATTAGTTTTAAACCTAGGGTTTCATCCAACGGCTGATATTCATCTAAAGAGGATCCAACGATTGGAAATAGCCGGGCCGCATCGTGCCGGCCCAAAAACCGTGCCGTGCCCGGGCCGGTGAGACGGCCCAGGCATGGGCACGATGCCGGGTCGGGACAGGCATGGGCACGAGGCAGGCCGTGCCGCACCGGGCCAGTTTCGTGCTTTTTCGGACCGGGCCTGTGCTGGCCCAGCGGTCCAGGCCCATCTGGACATATATATTTGCTAGTTTCCTTTTAGACGATAGTAATTGCATATATTTTATATTAAAAATGTAGCATAGTTCGTTGCAATTTCTATAGTCATGATCTGCATTTTTCAGTTCCGAGAATAAAAAAATTTGTTAGACAAAACCACAAACCCGACAAAATCTGATACGTGTTGACACAAAAACAATTTAATAATTTACAATTATTTCTATAGATGAGTATTTAGCATATATGAACGGCTTAATTCGAGGGTATAAATATATTCACTGCAGAGGACCATGGAATCCGGAAGGTAACAATGGCTTAGTACACTAGCTAGTTATTATTGCCGGTTCTAAACCCGACGGTGATAAAAATAGAAAATATGTATGTTTTTCGTGCTTCAAAGCCAGGACTTCAACATTCACATTCTCTCAAGCGTCCATACCATCTAAGCTACGTGATACTTGTGACTGTACAACTAATGTGATTCATTTAACTGCACAATTTTAAATCTTATATTATATATTCGACACTCTAAATGATCTCAAATAAAAAAGTTCTTAACTGCAAAATTATAAATCTTGTCAAGTACTACAACTTTGATATAGACTTTGTCTCCATTTCACATTGTTAACCTATCACAGTGATAGTCCGACAGGGATGATATTTCTGAGGGTGGTGGTATCGCCTCTATTTTTGAGGAATCAGTATCAATCGCCTCTATTTTACAAGGAACAAAAGCTACCTACTACATAATAGCCCTAACTACCCAGTCTAACCCTAAGTAGAAATGTTTCAGTAGTAAGCAAAGCTTATGCTGGAACAGTGGCATGCACGCAGAAGATTAGAATCCCCATCGAAAAAGACACAAATTCATGAGAGAACAAAGAAAAGAACATGTTCTCCCATGCATGCTCTAGTCCAGCATCGAAGCAATGTGAGGGGACCAAATGTGAGTAAGATTACATGTGAAGCTAAACTGCACATCAAATCACCAAAGGTATAAAGAGAACCTAGACAAGGGCTATGTTCAAGCTTAACTGGCAGAGTGGCAGTACAGAGCCTTGGCTTTGGTGCTCTTTTGATGCTTTGGTGCTCCAGTAAAGTACCAGTATTTGTTTCCATGTTGTTATCACTATATACCGTTTTGGTTTTGATGCTCTTTTGATCTGCCTAACTGATTTTGGTCCTGATTTGAGTGAAAGCCGTGGCCGAGGAGGCGGACGTTGATGGCATGGCCGTGTCTCCGCACCAGACCCCTCGGGAGCTTGGGTGCGTTGATGGCGTGGTCATGTCTCCGTCTGTTTCTGCACGTTTGATTCCTGTCAGCATGGTTCCTCCTGTCACCTTGGTGGACGATAATGTGCAGTCCTCTTCTTTTGCCTCACAACAGCCATGTCCTGCGGGTGTGGAAGGTGAGGCCCCGTTTCCGCTTACTGAACTTCCTCTCGTTCAGTCAGGCGTTGTAGCAGGGCCCGTGTCTCCGCCCGTCAGGGAAGCTCTTCAGGTTCCTGTTGGTGGCGTTCAGGGGGGCGTGTTGGTCTCCGATGCTGCGGTTCCCTGCTCCACCGAACCTGTCATGTCATCTCCGCCGGCCTCCCCAATTGCTGCCTTTGTTTTCAAGGTGGTTAAACCGGTGGACGCTATCCTGCCGGCCCCCCCAGTTCCTAAGAGAAGGAAGAAGATCCTGCCATCCAACTTTGTGCCAAGACGGAGCCACCGTGTTGCTAATCTTCCTCCAACAACAGCTGATCATAGTGCGGCAGTATCAGTTTGCCGTCAATTAGGCTTTGCTGATGGTGAAGAAAGGGTTTCTGTTGTCGCCATGGAACACTACGCCACCTTGTTTGACCAACCTCTATCCAGGGAACATCTGAAGGCATTGGCTGCCCTGTTCGGGTGGGATGCACCTCCTGGCGATGAAGTGCGGGCTGCAGATGACATTCTTGTTGTTTGATTTCCTGTAGTTGGTTGATCCAATCTTGTTATCTATGGATTCTGCTAGTATTTTAATTTGGGATGTTCGTGGACTCAATGACAAAAGCCACCGGGATATGGTTCACCAAGTAGTGCAGTCTTGTCAGCCGATGATAGTATGTTTGCAAGAGACCAAATTATCTCATATTCCCAGCGTGATGTGTTATCTATTTTGGGGCAGAACTATAGTTCCTTTGTCGCTCTGCCAGCTCAAGGAACAAGAGGAGGGATTCTGGTAGCTTGGCGGGATGGATCATCCAATGTTGAACACTATCGAGTGCATAGGCATTCAGTTTCGGTCTTATTCCAGGATCATGGACAGCAGCCATGGTGGTTCTCTGGAATTTATGGTCCTCACGAAGATGCAGAGAAACCTGCTTTCCTTGATGAGTTGCGTGAAGTTAGGAGTTTTTGTGTTGGACCTTGGATGCTTGCTGGGGATTTTAATATGATTTACAGTTCGGAAGATAAAAACAACGATAATATCAATAGGGCACTAATGGGAAGATTTCGTCGCTTTGTGAATGAGATGGAACTGAAAGAGATACCTCTGTTGGGTCGTCGTTATACTTGGTCAAATGAAAGAGCCTCCCCCACTCTTGTCAAGTTGGATAGAGTGTTGTGTACTACAGATTGGTAAGACTTATACCCTAACTGTATATTACAAAGCCGTGCGACTGAAATGTCTGATCACTGTCCTCTTGTCCTTGGTCTTAAAGTTGGTGTCAAGGGTAGGAGGCGTTTTCATTTTGAAAGTTTCTGGACACACCTTCCTGGATTCCTTGACATGGTAAAGAGTTCTTGGGATAAACCAGTTCAGACATCTTGCCCTCTGGAATGTTTCTCCATCAAGCTGAAGCGATTAACTCGTGCTTTGCAATCCTGTGGTGCAAAAAGAGTTGGACACATAAAAACTCAACTTGCTCTAGCTCGTGAAGTGTTGCATAGGCTGGAAGTGGCCCAAGATAGGAGGACTCTATCCATTGGTGAGGACTGGCTGCGAAAGGAATTGAAGCGACTTTGCCTGAAGTTAGCGTCTTTAGAACGAACTGTTGCTAGACTTCATTCCTGGGTCAGGTATCTAAAGGAGGGTGATGCTAATATATCCTTCTTCCACAAGCAAGCTGCTTTTCGGAAGAGAAAAAATTTTATCTCCAAAATCATAGATGGTGATCGGACTGTCACTTCCCAGGAGGATAAACATAGGATATTGTATGATTTTTATGATAATCTGATAGGTTCATTCCCGATCTGAACTGCGTCCTTAGACCTGCAATTCTTTCATCGGAATTCTATGGATTTATCAGCTCTTGATAATCCAATCATGGAGGAAGAAGTTTGGGAAACTATCAAGTCTATGCCATCAGATAGAGCCCCAGGTCCAGATGGGTATACTGGCATATTTTACAAGGCATGTTGGCAGGTAATTAGAGAAGATCTCATGGCGGCAATTATCACGGTTCAGCAAGGTCAAGCAAGGAGGCTTGGACTGTTAAATGCAGCTTATATCACTCTGATTCCGAAGAAGAATGATGCGGTGGCTGTGAAAGATTTTCGCCCCATTAGCCTAGTGCACAGCTTCGGTAAACTTTTAACTAAGATTCTTGCTAATCGGCTGGCCCCCTTATTGGACTCGTTAGTCTCTTCTAATCAAAGTGCATTTGTACGGGGAAGATGCATTCATGATAACTTCATTCTAGTGCAGCAAACAGTTAAGGTGCTACATCGACAAAAGGTGCCTAGCCTCTTTCTTAAATTGGATATCTCCAAAGCTTTTGATTCGGTGTCGTGGCCGTTTCTCTTAGAAGTGCTGCAACATTTGGGTTTTGGAAATTCTTGGCGCAATTTGGTGGCCAATCTGTTATCCTCTTCATCAACTCAAATCTTGTTGAATGGAGAACCGGGAGATTTAATACATCATCAATGAGGTCTTCGACAAGGGGACCCTTTATCCCCATGCTCTTTTATTTTAGTGATGGATGTCTTTGAATAGTTTATTTGTAAAGGCAAACAAGTGAGGGGTCATTGCAAATGCTATCCCCAAGGGTGGTCGGACAAAGACTTTCTCTCAGATCTTGATGATGTTGCCATATTTATTAAGCCAATTGAAGAGGAGTTGCTGGTCACTAGAGATATACTCAAGGTATTTGGTGACGCTTTGTGGTTGCATACCAATATTCGGAAAAGTAACATCATCCCCATCGGTTATGCAAGAGAGTCCTTGATGACCCATTCATGATATTCTCGCCATATACTATCTCGGTGTTCCCATGCAAGTATTTGGGCTTACCACCACAAACAAAAAGCTTCTTAAGAGGGACCTTATGCCATGGATTGAGAAAATAGTCGATAAACTCCCGTCTTTGGAAAGCGCCTCTCATGAACAGGGCTGGTCGTGCCACATTAGTCCGATGTGTTCTTTCCGCCATGCCTATTCATTTGTTAATTGCCATCAGCGTCCGAAATGGTTCATCAAGGCAGAGACAAAATCGAAGGGGCTTCTTATGGCAAGGAAAGGATAAGGCTAATGGAGGTTGTTGTTTGGTGGCTAGGGAGAAGGTCATGAGACCATTGGATCTTGGTGGCTTGGGCATACCCAACTTGGAGGTGATGGCCTGGCTTTACAAATCAGGTGGCAATGGTTTAAAAAGACTAAAGCTGATCGTCCATGGTCTCGATCTGAACTCGCCTTCGCACTCTAACTCGCTAGCCCTTTTTGCCATTGCAGTCATGACTGAGGTTAGGAATGGTCGTAATACTCTTTTCTAGACTGATCGGTGGCTTCACGGGTGTTCGATTGAAAATCTTGCGCCATCTGTCTATGCTTGTGTTTCTCCTAGAATTCGCAATAGCCGGACTGTGGCTGCAGCTCTCACCACCAATGCAATGGCCAAGAGATATTCAAGGAGGCCTTTCTGGACTGGTATTAGAGAATTCTTGCAGCTATGGGATTGTCTCTTGGGATTTACCTTAATCGACCAAGAGGATCATCACACATGGAGGCTAGATTCAAGTGGTTGCTACTTTTCCAAATCTGCCTATAAAGCATTTTTCTCAGTGGTGCTTTGTGACCTTTGAACCTTGGCATCGCTTATGGAAGTCCTGGGCCCCAAGCAAATGCAAAATGTTTCGTGGTTGGCAATCCGTAATAGATGTTGGATGGCGAGATGTGCTCGCTAAGAGGGCCTCTCTCATCCGGATAAATTCCCCCTATGCGATCAAGAAGATGAGACAATACAACATCTGTTAACATCTTGTGTGGTGGCAAGACAAGTTTGGTTTAGATTATTTTCTATTTTGAACCTAGCAGATTGTGTCCCCCACCATAACGAACTAAGCTTTGCTGATTGGTGGCGCAAGACTATTAACAGAGTTAACAAGGAGCACAGGAAAGGAGTGAATTCTCTAATTATTCTTGGGGCCTGGATTATTTGGAAACATAGAAATGCATATGTTTTTGAGGGGACCTCACCTTCGATTAACTTGATTTGGAGTGAGCTGAAGAATGAGCACAGCCTTTGGTGTTTGGCTGGTGCGAAAAAGCTAGAAGGTCTAGGTTTGTTCAGACTAGATCCTTCTAGTTAAGGTCGTGTCGGGTTTGTTTTTATGGGTCTTATTCTTGTGTATGTGTAATCACCTTATTCATATTTCCCCTTTTTTCATTCTCTATAATACAATGAAACGTAGCTCTCCTGCGTTTTCAAAAAAAAAAAGGTCTGCAAAATGATGGAGTACACTGCACTGCCTACCCTCCAAGTTTTCTTGTGGTATACAACTTTTTCCCTCTCTTTCTCTCTCTCAAAAAAAAGCATGCTAAGAAATTTTCAGAATTTTGTCCCAAAAAAGGTAATGGTGATCGATATATAAACTCCTTAGTTCTCACCGTTAATCCGCCTCGTCCCTACCTTGATTTTGAGCCCTTGCTTCCTGTGTACAGAAAACTCATAGTATAAAGTTTTGTATAATGCGCATATCATTGATCGCTCTTGTACAGAGTGGTTCTTTTGGGGTGCCAAGGAATAAAGAGGATTATTATGTGTCTAATTTGATATGAGATGTTTCTATGATCACTGACCTTTATTCCCTTATTATTCTGTATTTGTGGTGGAACAAAGTGGCCAAGCTAGCTAGTTACTATTGGCTAACATACTTTTGGTCCAGGTATGCAAGAACATGCAAGAGCAAAGGTCTGTGAACCACACCACTACGCCTATTCCCTAACACTGGTGCACGCAAGAGCTAGTAGCTGAACAAAGGTGATAAAAGATGATGTGAGAGCTCGCAACTGACGTTTCACTGGAAGAGGCAACGATTTTGAGGTCACCCAATCGCCTTGCTATCAATCAGTTTTGTTCTTTATCTCCACGGCCATGGACAGTCCATGTGTGCGTGTGATATGTATGCAGAATATGCCGTTTGGATAAAATAATTGGATGCATGCATGCTTGCACATGTGTGTGCATTGTTGAAGGTGAAGGTGACTTGGGTTCTTATCAGGTTTTCTTTTGCATGTTGTTCCTGTCAAGAAAAATCAATAAACTGTTTTTGCTTGTGGGGTCATATATATGGATGATTGAGATTGCAAGGAAGGAAGGTTCTTTGGTACTGATGATTCGCGAGCAGTATTTCTGCAGCATTGGAAGGATTGTTTAGTGCCATGCTTTTGCAGATGCCTGTTTTCAGGATTGCAGCATTTTAAAACTGTCAGTTGATGGAGAAGTTCAAAATAGCTGAAAAAAATAAGATAAGGTACATAATTCCTGCTATTGGTACTATTGATCTATCTTTGCATCCATGCATAGTTCCGTTGAAGCTGCATTTTCCCATCCAAGCTGAAAATTCGTTGACGCCATGGATGCTGCATGACATCCACGTCAAAATGAATTCAGTCTTATCCAAAATGGATGGGCGTATGAAAAAAAAATTCCACATCCTTTTCACGTCTGTGTACATGAATAGTAGCACGGCATAGCAAGTTGGTAGTAATTAACGGACCAACGTAGACGGCTGTCACCAACCAAACAAGCCATGGAAGGTGATGAAGCAATTGTTAATTGTTGTATGTCCAAGAAGAGAGCTGTTTAGTTGGATCACGGAACTCTTCATGTTAGATGTAGGATTTGCACTAGATCGACTTTGATCAAATAGATCATTTCGCGTAATATCACGAAGCAGTAGCTACCTACTGGACTTTGACCCCAGTAAAGCAGAGCACAGAAACTCAGAAAGTAGAGACGTGTAGAGGTGCATCTGCCACGATGACACCTGCACGTAGCTTTCCTTCCCTAATACAGGCCAGCTTTTGTTCTTTTCTCCATCAATCCTGCCTCTATTCTAGATAATGAATGACATGTGATCGAGCCTGACAGCGTGTTCATTCATCATGTGCATCAGTGCATATCGTGACTACTTCGTATATTGTTATCACTACCGCAAACATTAAATTTGCCGAGTGTTTTTATGTTTGCCGAGTGTATTCTCTCGGGCACTCGGTAAACAAGTTCTTTGCCGAGTGCTACGCAAAAACACTCGGTAAAGAGAAAGTTTGCCTTGTGTCTTTTTTTTACACTCGGCAAAGAAATAAAATGTTTTTTCTAGGAAAGAAGGAGAAGAAAAAAAAAACTTTGCCGAGTGCCCAGATCTAGGACACTCGGCAAAGGAAAAAAAATCTTTTTTCTGGAAAAGAAGGAGACGAAAAAAAACTTTGTCGAGTGTCCAGATCTAGGACACTCGGCAAAGGAAAAAAACCACTTAACTAACCGCGTCGCCCCTCCCCTCCCTCCCCTCAGCTCCCCTCCCTCCTCCCCTGCCTCCTCCCAGATCTGCCCGCCCGCGCCCTCTCTCCGGTGCCGCCGCGCCGCTCCCCTCCCACCCCTCCTCCGGCGTGCCCCTCCCTTCCCTCTCCGGCGCGGCCCCGCCCTCCCCTCCCTCTCCGGATCTGGGCGCCGCACCTCCCCTCCTCCTCCTCCCCGGATCCGGCCGCCGCCGCTCCCTCCCCTTCCTTCTTCCCCGGGCGCCCTCCCTCCTTCTTCCCCCCGGCCGCCCTCCCCTCCTCTCTCTCCCTGCAGCCCGCCCCCCCCCTCCCTTCTTCCCCGGCCAGGCGTCCTCCCTCCCCTTCTTCTTCCCATGGCGCCCTCTTCCCTCCCTTCTTCCCCCGTCGATGTGGAGGGCCAAAGGCGAGCTCCAGGCCGACGGATCCGCGGCGGGTGGTCCTCGCGACGGCTGGCATTGGATCCAGCGAGGAGGGCCAAGGGGAGCTCCACGGCGGTGGATCCACGGCGGGTGGGCCTCGCGACGGCGACGATGGGGTTGCGGCGACCGACGTGGGTCCGAGGTAGGTCAGCTCTCCCCATCTCCCTCTCTTTTCCTCTCTTCATCTCCCTCACTCTCTCCCTCACCGGTGATCAGATCCATGGCGGCGGCGGGCGGATCCGGCAGGGAGCAGCAGTGTGGAGGCGGCGGATCAGGTGGGGAGGTGCCCTCCGATGGCGGATCCGGTAGGGAGGAGCGCGCCGGCGGCCGGCGTGGTGGTGGTGGCGTGGTGGTGGCCGGCGGCTGTGGTGGTGGTGACCGGCGGCGGCGGCGTGGTGATGCCGTCGGCGACTTGTTTTTTTTTCCCCGAAAAATGTTTGCTGAGTGTTTTTTTGGGACTCGGTATAGTCTTTGCCGAGTGCCTGACATTTGACACTCGGCAAACAGCTCTTTGCCGTTAAAACCTCTACCGAGTGTCGTTTGCCGAGTGTAACACTCGGCAAACGCTTTGTCGAGGCACTCGGCAAAGCTCGTGTATCCCGTAGTGTATACTAGTAGTAGTCAAGAAAACAATCCATTGCAGTCTTAGTTCTCAATGTTCAAGATTCCATCTCGATCTCAATAGATTACCATTTTTCTGATACCAGTTTTAATTCAGGAGTAAATATATGTTTCAAACCATGCATACAGGCAGAACGGAGCCAAGACCGGCCTATAGCGCCAGCCTTGCCTCTACAACTTACTTCATCCGTTTCAAGTTATAAGACATTTGGACTCTTCTAAAATTCATTGAATTCACTGTGTATTTAGATAATCTAATGTATCAAAAACTGTCTATCTAAGAAAGGTCAAAACGTCTCCTAATTTGGAGGAGTATGTATCCATAAAAGAAAATATAACAAAAAAAATCAAATTTTATTTTATCTTCTATCAATGCAGCATCTATCTCAATCCGTGCTCTCCCAGTTGCCGTGGACTAAATTTCTTGAGAAAAGCTATGGGATACTAGTTTCACGGTATGATGCCAATAAATTAAAGCTGGACGATACGTACGTAGGTGAGGATCCGAGAAGGCCTCAGCGAAGGGAACAGGAATATATTGCAGCGTGTCAGCAACAGGACAGCGACGCTGCAACCGTCGTCCCCGCGGCGCCTATAAATCCTCCTGTGCGGCCGTCCAGATGGCCGCACCGCCCAGACACGGGTCGCGCGCCACCCACCGATCGAGCTGAGCACGCACGACCTGGCGCTTTAACTCTCTCTCAAATCGTCTCCGCGTCGTCGTCCAGCGTCCCGGCACACACGTAGCTTAATTCGATCCCTGGCAGTGGCAATACTGGTAGTAGGTAGCTACCCAAGATAGATAGGCGTGAGTGACGGCTGACGCGAGGATGGCGACGGGCGGCAAGGCGGCGGCGCGGATGCTCGGGCTTCTGCTGCTGCTGTGCGTGCTCCGCCAGGGAGCGGCGCAGCGGTACAACGCCATCTGGAGCTTCGGCGACTCCATCTCCGACACCGGCAACCTCTGCGTGGGCGGGTGCCCGTCCTGGCTCACCACGGGGCAGTCGCCCTACGGGGAGACCTTCTTCGGCCGCCCCACCGGGCGGTGCTCCGACGGCCGCGTCATCATCGACTTCCTGGGTACGTGCTGCGTCATCTAGTTGGCTGTGTATACCACATTACCACCAGGGACGGAAACTGGCCGGTGGCTGTGACCCGCCAACGCCCTGTGGGCCGGCTCTGGGACTGGACTGACTTGTATCCGTGGTATGTACTACGTGCAGCCGAGCACTTTGGGCTGCCGCTGCTGCCAGCGTCCAAGGCCGGCGGCGACTTCAAGAAGGGCGCCAACATGGCCATCATCGGCGCCACCACCATGAACTTCGACTTCTTCAACTCTATCGGCCTCAGCGACAAGATCTGGAACAACGGCCCCCTCGACACCCAAATCCAGTGGTTCCGCCAGCTGCTGCCCTCCGTCTGCGGGAACGACTGCAAGAGCTACCTGTCCAAGTCGCTGTTCGTGGTGGGCGAGTTTGGGGGCAACGACTACAACGCGGCGCTCTTCTCGGGGCGGTCCATGGCCGAGGTGCGGGGGTACGTGCCCCGGGTCGTCAGCAAGCTCATCCGCGGCCTGGAGACGATCGTCAGTAGTGGCGCCGTGGACGTGGTGGTGCCCGGGGTGCTGCCCATCGGCTGCTTCCCCATCTACCTCACCCTCTACGGCACCTCCAACGCCGCCGACTACGACCGCGACGGCTGCCTCCGGAGCTACAACGGCCTCTCCTACTACCACAACGCGCTGCTCAAGCGCAGCCTCGCCAGCCTGCAGCGGACGTACCCGCACGCCCGGATCATGTACGCCGACTTCTACACCCAGGTCACCCACATGATCCGGGCGCCTCACAACTTCGGTGGGTAACCTTTCGCTTTGTGTCCTTGCTAGAATCCAGTTGGCGTGCGGGACTTGAAGTCTCGGTTATCACGGAATGTGTAGTGTAGCACATAGGCAGCCCAGCACTGGAAAGGGATAGATCCAAAGCGTGGATGATGACAGATGTAGATGTAAAGAGAGCTATCTACGTGCATGCATAGTGAGCATGTTTAAGTTTTTTTCTTTTCTTTGGATTCTTCTTAGCCCACCAATGACTCATCCTGGTCAATTATACTTGCAGGGCTGAAGTACGGGCTGAAGGTCTGCTGCGGCGCCGGCGGGCAGGGCAAGTACAACTACAACAACAAGGCGCGGTGCGGCATGTCCGGGGCCAGCGCCTGCGCCGACCCGGGCAACTACCTCATCTGGGACGGCATCCACCTCACGGAGGCGGCCTACCGCTCCATCGCCGACGGCTGGCTCAAGGGCCCCTACTGCAACCCTCCCATTCAGCACTGACGAGCTAGCTAGCTGGGGGAGTTAATAGCTAGCAGCATGCATTCATGCGTGGGTTGATCGTGTGTTGTTTGTTTAGGGCTAATTGCCATGTGCATCATCATCCTAGGTTCATACAAAGTGATGACTAGTGATGGTTTGTCATTTGGTTGTCAATTATTCATGGGAGGTAGGTGGTTTCGGTGTGCTGGGGACAATGAATAAATGTGTAATGGACTGTTTGCAATTAACTACACAGTGAACAATGAGTTCACATCGCTCTTCAAGAAACAAATGGAACCTAAAGTTAAGCTTCTTAAAAGTACTTCCGGTACAATTTTCAAAGCACTCTGGACCTTGCTTTTAGCTTTTGGCAATCTCAAATGGCTGAAAATAGAGAGATGTTTCACAATTGTTTTAAGAGAGATATAGAGAGAGGGCTTAGGTTTTTTTACTTATTTTAGCCAAATAACTTACAGATTTTCCACAGCATATATAGATGGCCATGCAGCCCGAGGCCTGAAGGTCCGGCATGAAGCCCACGATTTTGGCCTGGCCCGAGCACGGCACGGCCCGGCCTGATCCATCGTGCCTTGCCTAGGCCTCTTCTCAGGCATGGTGGGCGGCCCGGCCTGGCCCGGTAAAATGATGAGGCCCGCTGCAGTATATACATTTGTGCCAATTCTAAATTTCTAACCCTATTCCTCTGCTCCCTCCCCATTCGTCGCAGCAACTGAAGCGAGCGCTCGTCCCCTTCCTGTCCGCTACGCTCGGGCACCCAGCGCTCCCCTTCCCATCCCTCGCGCAGTTGCACGCTCCTCACCATGAACTCCCTCCTCCACTCCATCAGCCCGCCGGCCATGCAGATACGACATTGAGTGCCTTCGGCCGCGCGAATCCGACGACCCCGAGGCCCAAGCCTCGGTGAGCGCATGGGAGCAAAGTGTGGCGGCGGTTTCCCTCCTGGCTCCTGCCTTGGCGAGCGTTGACGTCGCGCCTGGAGGCACTGCGCGGAGGCTCCCTCTCTGACTCCGTCACAACGCTACAGTCACGACCTCGTCCTCCTACGACGGCAGCGCTCCCTCATGGGCCTCGGTCTGGCATGGAACGCTGGATTGGCCATGCTTCTCGGGCCAGCCCGAGCCAAAAAACTGCCCGCCAGGCTATGCCTGGGCCGTTGGTCAGGCACGAAGCCCAGTTTGGCACGACCCGTGAGGCACGACGTGCCGTGCTGGCCCGACCCCCATCAGGTCATGCCTGGCATGGGCCGTGCCAGGCCAGGCCGGGCCGGCCTGATGGACATCTATAACAGCATATATCTCACAATCGCTTTTTCACAGCTCATAACAGCTTTTCCACAGCTCATAGTTAAACCAAATAGAACTTAAGTCATTTCCTTAGGAAGATCACACTAGAGCAAGGTCCTTAAGTGCGAAATTAAAAACCTATCTACTATAGATCACACTAACACAAAATCAAACCTAGTTATTACCATAAACATCAAGCACACAGAAAGATAAACAAGAATGTACATATGAGAAATCAGATACGAGACAACCGTATATTTTTCTTGTGGTATCGGATGTTGGAAAAGTGATCTCGGGCCCATGGACTGGTGGTCCAACACCCCTGCCGGTTTGTGTGGCTGAATCTAACAAATGGGAGCTCACGTAGCCCCTCTACGCGTTGTGATGGGGAGCGAAAAACCCTAGTTTGGTTTTGGCTAATTGATGCTACCTAAGTGTACTAACCCTTGTCATTAGTGTGGTATATGAGCTAGGTTGGTACAGACCAAGTGGTGGAGCTAGATGATGGTCATGGTGATGGTGATGGCCTAATTGAAGATCAAGTGCTCCATATTTGGAAAAGAAGAAAGAGAACAATAAAATGGGCTCAAGGCAAAGATATATTTGATAGGGCCATTTTGTTTTGCCACTCAAGACACCATAGAGGGTGTGAGTGGGTTAAGGATACATAGCCGTACTATTAAGACGGGAAATCCTGATCCAAATACGGTTATCTAAGTGCCACTATGTGATTTAACTCCATCCATTTGCATTGGGACCTAGTGAGTGCTAATATCCCTTGGAAAAACATGTTTGTGAAATGCTAACTCACATGCTCAAGTGATGGAACTTGGTGGAGTTAACACATTTACACAAGGGATGAAGTTAGAAAAGGAAAGGAGGTTACTGGGGTGACCGGACTCTGTGACTGAACGCATTGGGCGAGTACGGTAAGTGACCCTAGGCACGGCCGATAGCAAGCAGCGCGATCGAACTCTGCAACCGGACGTGTCGAGCGAGTCTAGGGCCTAACCCAAGGTCCTGGCCAGATGATGGGCTCGAACCAAATGCTGGCTAGGGGGCCCAACCGGATGCACCCCTAGCACTATTCACCAGCAGGCAACACGTGTAGCAGAGGGACTGGACGCTGGGTGAGTCCGGTCACCCTTGACCGGACACGTCCGGTCGGCAAAAATGCACTCTAGACCTCTCAGGATCACGATCGGACACCGGGGGCTGGCAAGTCCGATCTTTTGACCTATGCTTCTGGTCAATAAGTAGTGAGAGCGTGCGAAGGAGCCATTGGGTGGCAATGGCTAGATTCAAATAGCCAAGACACGTGGCTGTCTCAGGGTGATGGGACACCAGACATGTCTGGTGCACCCTGCAGCGTGCCCGGTCAACACGCAGAAATCAGGTTAAGAGTCCAACGGGTATGTGACTTGTTGGGGCTCTATAAATAGATGTTGGCTGGCTCTAGCTCACTCTCTTGGACATTTTGATCATTGATACATCCTTGTGAGCTAAGCCAAACACCTCCCACACATCTCCATCATAGATTCATCATCTTTGTGAGATTGAGAGTGATTCTAGTGCATTTGCTTAGAGTTTGAGCATCTAGTGGCACTAGTGATTGTGTGAGCTGTGGGATTTCTTGTTACTCTTGGTGGTTGCCACCACCTAGATGACTTGGAGCAGCGGAGGAGGATTGGCACAAGTTGGTGATTGTTTGTGGCCATCTCCCGGTGATCTTGTGAGGGTTCGTGATCTTTTCTCGGTGAAGAGCCAAAAGGTACTCTAGTAAATTGTTCGTGTCATTGAGTACCCTCATTTGTGTTTGGTTCTTGCGGCGCCCACTTGTTGGGCTAGGCTTGTGAACGTCTATTAGCTCATCAAACCACCAAGTGAACGGTCGACACAACGGGGATTAGCGTGCCAGCAAGCACATGAACCTCGGGAGAAAAATTGTGTATCTATTGTCTCTTTGGAATTCTCCCGGTATTCTCTTGGTATTCACTTATTGATTGATCATCTCTTGCCACGACCGGTATAATCATCTCTATCTCTTGTATTTACATTTCTATAGATATCTTGTGTAGAGGTAGTTTGAGTAGCTAGTGTAGCATAGCATTAGTTGGTAATTTAGTTGTAGTTAGCTAGATCACTAGTTAGGCAAGTAGAGACTTAGCTTTTGAGTGCTTAGAGATTATACATCACTAGTCTTGTGGATAGGTGGCTTGCAACCCTATTAGAGCTAGAGCAAAAGGCTTCACTAATTGTTGTACTAATTATTTGCTATAGTTAATTTGTAGAAATTTTTATAGGCTATTCACCCCTCTCTAGCCATTTGGACCTTCTAGGAGCGCTAGCTTACTGAAGCAAGGTTGTGGCCCTCAATCATGTAGTACTGATATAAGAAGAGGGAGCCGATCAGAACCAATGTTTAGTGAGCACATACCCTAACTACTCTCTTGAAAAGCCGATTGTCGGAGTTTTGAGAACTGACCAGTAAATTTATCACCGCGCTGCTCAAGAAAGTTGATGGCTAGCACTCAGAACATAGAGAATTTATACTAGTTCAGAACGAAACCCTATGTCCAGTGCAGGAGACTATGAGTACGTGTTCCTTAATGTCAAGTGCTCCAAATGTCTTACAACAGGGGGTTTGCAATCTAGGGTTCTACTAGTAGAAGGGATTTGAGGTAGGAGAAGGCTCTTCGAAAGAAGGCCTGGCTCCCCATATATAGCCATGGGGTCCAGGTTACATGCAGACGTGTTCGGTTCTTCCGACCCAAGTTGCTAGGAGCCTGAGGGAGGCAGAAGCTAGTTTGCTTGGTCGGCAAGCCTGTCGGTCTTGTCAACATGTCTGGGCATGGTCATCGTGAGCTTGCTCCTTACGCCAAGGCATGGCGTATGGTGGCAGCACTGTTCCGGCCATGGTGGCGCTATGGGAGTGGTGATTGTTCACCAACTCCCCTGCTCAGCATGGGCTTGTTGTAGACGTCATGTCCTTTGTCCTGGTGTCCGTTTCTTTAGGGAGAAGTCATGATGCCAATGTACGGGGAGAGTGGTTGTCCATCGTAGGCAGCCGTCTGTTGGCACTTTTTAGCATAGCTACTTGGTTTGTATTCCCAGCAACGACACCAGAAGTGCTCATTGGTATTACTTAGCAACATCACTAGTGATTAGCAATGTCACTAAATAATAGCCTTGATAGTTCCTTAATAATTTTAGATATTTATCCACAAGCGCACGGAGCTATCATTGTAGCATTTTAGCCGGAAGTATTTAGGGTATCATTATTTATATTTTCCCAAAGGAAGGCATTTGATTAAGAGTCTAGTATGGATATGAACTTGAATAATAATGCTTGCAAGTATACAGGGGTAAGAACGGTGATTTCAAGATAGTGGGCACACACTTGGTATTCCTCAAAGGATAAAATAAAGAGAAAGAATAAAAGAATAATCCTAAGTCGAGCAGGCATTGGTCTAGTGTAGTCATACAAAGATTAGTTAATGATCATACAAGTTACATAATTAGTATTAGGGCTAAGTGTGAAGCAGGTCGGGAGGCCACTGAGTACTAGTCTGCCAGCAACCTCATGTGACAATTTAGATTTCTACACCCCAGTCGAACATGGGGGATTACAAGGGACGGACAGGGCTGTCACCACCTACCGCCTACCCCTCAACCTTTAAAAGGGCAATGCATTCACCTGTCTCTCCATACCCAAGC